AAGGTGGGAGTTGACTATGTATATCTGTTACAAAGCCTTTGTTTTTCTTTGGTGGGGGATGGTGGTGGTGGTGGGGGAACAAGAAGGCATAAGGATAAGGTAGCTAAAAAACAAAGAAAACAAAAGCATCCTCTGTATCCTGGGGGGGAGGGTGGGGGGGGAATGCAGAGAGCAAAAGGCAGGCCAGAAAGAAGCAACAAAAGCTGGACAGTTCTGAAAGCTAAAGGATGAAGTTATATGCTTAAAAAGAAAAGCAAACTGTACAAGAAAGAGAGCCACGGTCATGTATGATCCTCTTTTCCTGTTTGACTACTTATGTGGAAATACCGATTTTTTTTGTTAAGTTCTGAGTTTTTAAAAAGGAAAAAAAACTTACTATATATTTCAGGAATGGTCAAATGAGTGCCTATACTAAGCTAGCAGCAGTAGAAGAGCAAAGAATATAGATTTGAGAGGTATAGGATATGGTAGGTGGTTGCATAACAAGTGAGTTACACAAAAATAACATGTATATATACCTAAAGTAATATACTAGCATCACCTCATTTGTTCTTAGTTATCTTGTGAAGTAATATTAATCCACTTTTACAGAGAAAGGCAACTAAAGTTTATAAGGGTAATTGTGAAGGCGCCATAGTCACACAATAACAACTTCATGCTCCATAAAAGAATGATGAGTATGAAGAATTCAGAAGCACCTTCTACAAACTGAAGCAAAGTAATCATAATTAGGAAAAAATAATACACTTAAATACAATAACATATATGGAAAGAACAACAAAAAAACCAATGACCAAGACTGGCCCTAAAAAACAAACCAAAAAAGAAAAACCAGAAAAAAAAAAGGCCCCTCACTTCCTTCTCTTCAGAGCTGGGAGACTATGGCAATGAAACATTGTATAAGATTGGTTGATATATTGGTTAGCTTTGCTCAACAGCTTCTCTGACATTTTCTTATTAAATGGGATGGCTTTAAGAGTAGGAGAGACAGGATGAACAGATTCTTATTATAGGTGATATGAAGACAAAACATGGTAGGAAAGCTGGGAAGGGAGAGTTTGGGGTGAAAGATGGATTATCTTTTTGGACACAATGAGTTTGAAATGCCTAAAAAGCAGCTGGTAACAAGAGCCTCGAGGTGGATGTAGAAATCTGGAAATCACATGCATAGGAATGATAATTTTGGGAAGTGGATGAGACCACCAAGCAAGATAGTATAGAAGCAGAAAAGAAGAGTGCCCAGTATAGAGCCTTATGGTCAAGCCCACAGATAGTGGGTATGACCTAGATGAATACATAGCAAAAGAGATTGAGAAGGAATGGTCAGACAGACCGGAGAATAGGATGAAGTAGAAATAGGAGAGAATAGTGTTCCAAAAATCTAGAGAGAAGATAAAAACCAGATGAGGGTGAACAACAGTATCAAAAGGTGAAGAGAACTCACTTAGGATGAAGACTGAGAAAAGTCCATTATATTTGGTATGAAGTAATTTTGGAAAGAGCAGTTACAATTGAATGATGAAGTCAGAAGCCACATTAGAGAGTTTATGAAAGACTATAAGATGAAAAGGCAATAACTGTTGACTGAATTCTTAATCAATTAGTGGAGAAGGTAAGAAAAGATGGTAGCTGGTGGGGATGGTTGGATCAAAGGAGTTTCTGGGTTTTTTTTAAATGATGAGGAAGACAAGGTCATGTTTGTAGGTAGCAGGGAAAGAGCCAATACATCAGGAAAGCAGAGGATGGCAGAGTTGAACCTATTCACCAAAGCACCAAGACATGGAAAAGAAGAGTACAATCAAGCCTGCAGCAGACGTGAGGGGTGGAGGAATAGCTTGTCACAATGAGAACAAAGAACAGGGTTAGAGGATAGAAAGCACAGGCAAAGATGAAAGGATAAAAGAATCTTTGAGTTCATGAACATAGAAGCAGAACACTTGTGAATGATGGCAAATTCTAGGGTACAACTATCTTTGTGTGTAGATAAGGTGTAGTGGAGGGGTAGATCATGGTAATTAAATAGCTTAGGGAACTGGGAAGTTAAGGTAATTGAGGAAATATAAATATGTAACTCCTGTATAAGTGTGAGGGCAAGAGTTGGGGTAGAAAGAGAACATGAGCACTTACCTCACTGAGGAGGGAAGGAGAATGCCTTAGGGGTTGACAGATAAGGCTACAGGGTTCTGGATCAGGTGATAAATTAGAATAGCATGAATCTTGAAGGAGGCTGTTAAGTAATGATGGTGGAGAGAGTCTGGAGTGGCAATGGACAGCAAAGAGTATTTTGACTTTCTCATCTTTACTAGGGGTGTGGGAGGTATGTGTGTGGGGTATGAACGAAAGTACAACCAGTACCAAAGAGAGTGGCCAGGAATGCAATATAATCATGAGGGAGCTGGGTCCCAGGGAATGTCAGAAAATGGGAGGAGTGAGAAAGGAAAAAGTTTATTATGAAAGCAAGTTTTTTTTTAAATTACGGACTAGCATTCCAGAGAGCTAAGAGTTAACATCAAGATTTCAAAAAAATAAAGGCATAAATGAACGGTGAAGTTAGTTTTAAAGATAGGGATAAGATCTGGACCTGCAATTTTATTCACATAGGGAACTCCCTGATGAAGAAACTCCTACCACTGCACAGAACAATCTTTCTAAAATTTATAGTCCCAGTTGCCTTGGGACAGCGAGAGGTTAAGTGATTGGCCTAGAGTTCTACAGTCAGTATGTCAGATGTGTGAGGAATCTTCTTGGCTTGGAGGCCAACTATCTATCCATTACACCATACCCCCCCCCCCGTGTGTGTGTGTGTGTGTGTGTGTGTGTGTGTGTGTGTGTGTGTGTGTGTGTGTACGAAGTATCTGAAACTAGATACTCTTTATCCCTTACTGGAAAGGGCCTCAGAGGCCAACTTGTCCATTGTCCTGATTTATGAAATATGGAAACTGAGGCCCAAGACTACACAAATACTAAGTAAAGGAGCTTATTTTGGAAGTTGGTTCCTCTTACTACAAATCCAGTACTATTTCAACCACACTAGGTTTCTGGAGGCAGGACATAAAAACAAAAGATTAAGTGCTGTGTGCTTTCACAGAGAATTCATTTTTTATCAAATGGCTACTTGTCTGGGTTCTGCCTCCCCATGGCCTCCAGTCAAGAAACATCTTGCAAATTGCTTTAATTCTCAATTTTGGTACTACACTATTAAAATAGTATCTAATGGAAAACTTTCCAAAAAATAGTACATACATTTTTACAGTGGATTTTTTAAAGCAAATATCCTTAATTCATTTCATAATTTAACAATTCTGTATGTGTTCTAAGCAGAGCATACTGCATAAAATACTTAAAACAAATGGATAAAGAGATCAATTTAGGCCACATATTATTCACAAGTGGCATAGCAATAGATAAAATGTTACCTTAAAACAACATTCAAAAGATCAAGGAACAAAACAGCTGTTGTACCTTGGTGCTAATTATCCATCCCCAAACCTGACTACAAGTTCTACTTTTTTTTTTAAGTAGTTTTGTTTCATTGGAAATGGTTAGGTAGCGCGCACGCGCACACGCACACGCACACACACACACACACACAAAGCAATGTGTAGTATTTTTTTTAACCAGGTTATGCTAAACGGATGGAAGAGAGTAAAACAAGAGTGAAAAGAGACCAGTTTAAAAAAAGAAAAATATTCAGATTAATGACAAAAGCATGATGATCTATGTACTCATGAATCAACTCTGATTACAACACAATAAACTACAAATATGGTGCCCAAAAAGCTTAGGTGAAGATCACTATTTTCATCTGTGCGCAAAAAGGGGATATTTCAAAGCTCCAAGCTCATTTGGGTATTCAAAATGGGGATATTCAGCTCCTACTAATAATGGCATTCATGCCTTTTAATCCTTCAACTGTGAAATACACTTCGTAAGTTAAATAACATTCAGAAACAGGTTCACACATTGAAGAGTTGATTGTTTAGGCACTGGCTGCTTCATTATTGCCAGAGATTTAGAGACTATTTTGGAACATCTGTCAGTAGCCCTGACCACAATTCCTCTGAATACTTATTGCCTATTTATATTCCACCCTTAAATTACCAGTAACGAAGCTGTTTGCCTCCATTATCTATCTATCTATCTATCTATCTATCTATCTATCTACCTATCTATCTATCTCTATCTTTCCTAGTAGTGGGTGTGCTTAGTAAAAACAAGCCTTTGGGTAAATCTAGAGGAAAAACTGCTAAGTGTCACATTTATAACCCAATGCCACTCAAATCTTCTGTCAATGTTAATAACAAGTACTAGTCCTTTATTCCAAGCCCACTGTGTATGAGGCACGGTGGTAGGCAGGCACAAAAATAGGCCATTGTCCCTTCCTTCCCTCAAGAGGCTTACAACCTAGTAGGGGAGATAATACACAAAGAAACAGTTTAAAAAAACAAACAAAAAGCAATATCAGTCCGACAAGTACAAAAAGTACTTAATACTGAACATTCATTCAGGCTCTAATTCTGGGTACCAAACAAAGTAAGTACAAAATAGTTCAAACCGAAGTTTTCACCACTGCAGACCACTTAAACAGCATTACCTAGGGATCAGTTAAATGTGCATACAGAAGACCTAATAATTTTTGGCATCCTATTTAAACTTTCGATTTTCTACCTAAGTAAGTATGTGCTACAAACAAGTGAATTAGAAAACTGGAACTGAGGATTTAAAAAGCATTCACAAAGGATATGGGATACTCATACATATACACAACCTCTAAAGCAATAAATAGTTCGCATTTAAATTAAGGTTTTAGTGCTTTGGGTTTTTTGCACCTTAAGGGAAACTTCACTAACACCACAAGTGTGTTACCTGACACCATTATTTAGATACAGCGAACTGGTGGTGGAAGAAAAAAGTCAAATGAGTGCACAAAAGTCCCCGTCTGCTGAACCAGCCCCATGCCCTTCTTCCCATCCCAAACCCTATGGATCCCCGAAGTTTACCCAAACTTCCAGGGTCATGGCACCAAAGGAGCCTGGTTTCCGTCCAGACACCCCTGGGAAAGCCAGCCACGGTCAGATCCAGCCACGCCAGGAGAAAAGAAGACCCCCCTCCCCGCCTCAACTCCACCCACCACGGCTGCGGGGCGTCCGGCCAGGCCACGGGAACCTCCCAGCCATCGAAAGCCCCGCAAGGGGCGCCCCGGAGAGGCCGCGCCGGCCCCGAGGGAAGTGGGGGCCGGCGGGGCCGGGGGGATGGTTTCCGTTCGCTCCCCGCCCAAATCCGAGGCCGGGAAGGGAAGACGAGCACCTTCTCCCTGCCTCCCCGCCAGGGCCCAGGACCGAACTCCCATCCCAGACCCAGACCCATGACTCACTTGTCAGTTCTGCAGCGGCCGCAGCTCGGTCCCCACTCACCGCCACAGCCCCTGCTCCCAGGGCCGTCCCCCCCCCCGCGGGCCCCAGCCGCCCGCCGCCGTCTCTTCCGGGGCAACGAAAGTAACCACTTCCGGCGGGTCAGCGCAGTGTCTCCAAAGCGGGTACACCTAGCCAGCGCCGGCCCACCTAGCCTCTCAACGCCTTCTACCAATTGGAAACGCGCCGCGTACCCTTACCAATCATCATCCACTCCGGGGGAGCCTAAAACCCGCCCTCTCCCAGTTTTTCCCTCTCTCTATCTTCGGAGGAGGGGCAAGGACCGGACTGGTGACCAATCGGAGTCCAACTCATGTGTTCCTACAGTTCCCAGCATGCAACAGGACGACCCAAATTTTCTGTCCTAGTGGGGGGCAAAAGACCGAAAACAGGATGGCAGGGTAGAGGGCGCATTGCGTGCCGGAATTTGTAGTTTCCTTTAATGAGTCGGGCTCTGGGGCAGCTGGAGTCACGTACTTTCAGAGAAGAGGACAGATTGCAAAGCGTGGGGCGCGGTTTTGATGCTAATGAGAACATCCTGCTCTCAAACTGGCTGAGTCTGTCCTTTGGGGAATGTTGCAGCGTAGTCTAGGAGAGTGACTCTGTACCTTCTTTGGATTCTTTCTTCCTGGTACTGGTCGTGCATTTACTGATTATGATAAAACTACTTAATCCAGACTGGCACATTTAGTTTACTTTTCCTAGTACTGTGCTTTGCACTCCTTAGCAGGACCTGCCCCTTTTCTTTTAAATTGCTTCCCCCCCATTTTTTTTTAAGGCCTGTGGATGTTTGTTCCCCAGACGTACTCAATCAAAATGCGCGGGGAATGGGCATTTATCTCGGTGGAAAATTATATTTATATAATTGGAAAGAATGATTTCTTTTTCTGAACTTCAAGCAGTCGTTGTGTCCATATCAATTGAATACAAAGTCTTCTTGAAATTGATTGAGGTTCAGCTATCAAACTACTGGCTTGAAACACTAGTTGTAAAATAAGTCTTTTAACTGTAACAACCCAACTGCTTACCATACAGTTAGGAACAGACGATTGGGGGATGGGCACAAATAATGAGACTACTTTCAACTTCTCCTCACCCTCTCACCCCATCTCAGCTGCTATTGCTGTTTTCTTTCTCATTTTCCATTCCATTATCAGCTTCTACTTTCCTCCCTCCCTCCAACCAACTCTGAAATCCACTTCCAAGCAGAGTAGTGGCTGGAAATAAGTGAAACCTTAAAAAGAATAAATACAACTGAATTGGACTAAGTGACCTCACCAGCTTGAGAGTCGGTGAAAATGTGGCATTGGCAGCATTCTTTTTTTTGCAAAAGCACATTATTAAAATATCTATTTTGCTATTCAGAATGCTGTGATTATGCTGGGGGCGGGGTGGGGAGGATTGTCGTCCATCTTGGAAAAGAAGTTCTTTGGCCATAAGGGCAGAGAAAACATTTTTTCTTTTATTATTATCTGTATAGTATGGTGCCTGCTGCAGCTATAAATGCTAGTGAGAGTGCTCAACAAATGTGTGATGACAAGAATATCTAATAATAGTCACTTTTAACAATTTAAGGCATGCAATGCTTTACACACACCTAGTCAACAGAATTAGTGTAAGTAATGTATTAGAAGGAAGTGAGATTGGATCTGTGATTTCACTGGTTTAGCTAACTCCCACATAAGGAAATTCCTTCAACCAAAGGAGGTGGCACCTTTTCTGCAATTTAGAGACTTAAGAGAGTTGCCTAGAACACTGAGAAATTAAGGGACTTGCCCAGAGCCACACTGCCAGTACTGTTAAAGGCAAGACTTGAAACTAGGCTTTCCAGGCTCTTCTAGATTTTTCACTATTTAATGCTGCTTTTAGAAGTAAAACACTCAAACACAAAATGACAACATTTTGAATAATGTTAATGAAATAATGAGGGATTTATATTTTTATCAAAAAGAATTTTAACAAATGATAGACTTTTAAAAAGAATTAGAAGAATTTAGGAACATGAGATGACAAAAAATTTTTATCTATTTTGCTGCAGAATCACAATCAGGTATGACAATCAACTTAGAGGGCACTGAAATTTAAAGGCTGTACAATTTTTAAATAAAGATTTTAAAAGTTCATACACTTTTGATTAACATTTATATTTTGACAGTATTTCCATTAGATTGTGAGTTCTATGAGGGCAGGGAATATTTGCATATTTCTTTGTATCTCCAGCTCTTAGCATAGTATCTGGCACATAGTAAGGATTTAATAAATGCTTGTTGACCTTGCTTTACTTGTATTTTCAGTCCTTTTAGAGGATGTAAATTAATTAGCAAGAATAGTTAATTACACTAGGATAACAATAGTTAATTACACAGGACCTTTAAACATTTTGCCTGGTACAAGATGATACCAGGCAAAATGTTTAAAGGTCCTGCTCTGTATTTCTTTCCTTCAGGAAGGAAATCTCATGGTGTTCCAGGGCATCTCTCCATAGGGTAGTTGGGATTTTTGGGACTAGAATACAGATTTTTTTTTCACCACTGTGGTTGATTTGAGAGTACTTTTGCTTCTTGTGGTTGCCAAAAATGAGAGTTTTAGCTTTGCTTTGTTATTTTAGGCATACAGTAAATAAACAAATAGTGGAGCAGAATGAAAGGGATTGTCATTTCAAATTACAACTTCCCTTGCATACTCTTCTTTTGCAATGTAAATGAACTTGAACCCTAAACTACTTGTATCGGATAGCCAATGGTGAAAGTTAGTTCAATTTTGGCTGCTTTAGTAACAAACCAATAATCATAATTTATTCCTTGAGATTCAGGCTTAGAAATATATATAATTCTAAAATATGTAATAATATCTACTGGACTACTGTTTACATTGGAACTATCCTCAAATCCTGAAGTCTCTCCTTTTGATTGTCTAGTTCCTCCCAGAACCTCCAATGTAAGGAATGAGGCCCAGGCCTGACAATCTTTTCTTTTCCAGGCTGCACTGCTGACTCATCTCCATAGGCCTTTCCCTACTTTGCCCCTGTGCAGGGTACCGGCACCCGAACCTTTTCTTCCAGCCCTCTTTTGTGTTGTCTTTCCACCGTAGAATGTAAGCTCATTAAGGGCAAGGGCTAGCTTTCTTTTTGCTTTTATTTGTATTGCCAATGCTTAGCACAGTGTAGGTCACATAGTAAGCACTTAGTAAATGCTTATTGACTGACTGATTTGTATGAGTTTCTACTATCCTTGGAACAGAGTACCATCGGGATTCAGTGAGAGGGAGACAGATGAGGAGGAGGTCTTTCAAAAAACGGATATTGTCTGTACCAAGGCATTTTGACTGAAGATGGAATAGCACGTATTGAGAATTGCACATGGGCCAATGTGGCTAGAAAGTACAGTGTGTGAAGAAGAATAATGTGTAGTCTAAAGTAATAAACAACCTGCAGGGAGTTGGCTGGACCCAGATTGCAGGGCTTTTAAAAGTCAGAAGAGGTGCAAAATCAATCAGTAAAAACAGCACAAGTAAAGAACACAAGGGAAAAGATGACAAGAAATGACTGCACTTTCTAAACTAAGAGTATTAGAAAGGACTATCTTTCGAAGAGCCCACCTAGAACAGGTAGTTTCTCCTTTTGAACCAGTGGATGCACTAATACAAGAAAAGTATAATCAAAGGCTTTACGCTGAGGTCCAGGTTGACATCATGCTCCTGTTAGATGAACTCAGTGCTGCGGTTTCCACACACAAACTAGTTTGGGAGCAAAACTACTCCAGCTTTTCTAAGGTTATCGAATGAGAAGGAACCCACTATTTCCCAAGGCATTCCGTTCCACCTGGACAGCTCTAATTTTACTAGGAAATATTTTCCCTCCGACATCAAGCCTAGATTTGCTTCTTTGCTATTTCACCCATTGTTCTTAGTTCTAGCCTCTGGGACCAAGTAGAATTGCTGCCAATACACCCATCCACATGATAGCTCTTCAAATCCTCAAAAATGCAGCTTTTGGGGGGGGGGCTCCGGGCTCTGCTTTTTCGAGGTCTTCTTTTCTCCAGGCGCCAGGAGTTTAGTTCAAGCACAGATATTAGCAACAGTAGCTCCTCGATTCTCTTTCTGCTACACTTGCGCTTTGGCTCTTTAGGTCCCAGGCCGCAGCTCTCCTGTCTGATCTCGGGAACTTTTGTTTCGGGACCAATTTCTGAGGGGACAGGAAAGCCTGAGTACCAGCCAGGCGGCCAATCGCTATGCTGAGGGGTCGGGAGGCGGAGGGAAAGCGCTGCCCGAGGGGGTGTCTTTGCTGGTGACACCAGGCCGCTGCGGGGCCGCGGTTCGGAAGTTGCACGCGTTCACTCAGAGCAAGGGAGATGTTGCTCCTGGCGGTCAGCGGCCAGTGGGCCGCCTGGCTGCGGCTCGGCGGCGGCGGGACAAGGGTTAGACCGTGGGAAGCGGCGGCGCTGCTGCGTCGCTGGGCCGCTCGAGATCCCCGTAAGGCTTCTAGTCTCAACCGCGCACGCGCAGCACCCCCGGGAGCTGCGCGAGGCTTCGCCCTCCGGGCGCCCCGCCGAGAACAGGTGCGGCCTCAGGCCTCTTGGCCCAGGATGGGGTGGGGGTGGGGATGGGAGTTTGGGGGGGCGGTGTGGAGGTTCCGAGAGTACACGGGGCCCTTGGGCTGTTCCCATTATTCTCCACA